TTTTTTTTTCAAATTGTGGTAACATAGTGGTCAGCATTTCTTCTCATTCTATTGTCAGATGAATATTGTAGTACATAACAAAGCGTGAAGGAACAACCTCTTGGTTAGAAATAATAAATTCTTTATTCTTTCAGTGCGTTGATCGTGTGTTGAGTGCAGGGCTGGGAGAATGGAACGCCTTCGCTCTGGTTCGACCGCCAGGTATTGTTTTCTGATTTTTTTTCTGCTACGAGGTAAAGAAATGTCGAAGTTATACCTGCAAATTTTGATTCATACCATTTGCTGGAATATTTTCTCGTTTAGGACATCATGCAGGAATTTCTGAGCCGAGCGGTTTTTGTATATTCAACAATGTGGCCGTGGCAGCTCAGGTAAGTTTTTTTCTAATGTAAAGTCTGACAGCGTTCACTTTCTTTGAAATACAGAAGGAAATTGTCATTTCAAAATGTTCCCTATTTGAACATGTGCTAAGAATTGATTTTATTAAAACCTAAAGTGCTTTCAACTAAATATTTAAAAAATCTGCGATTTTAGTATGCTCTTGACAAGTACAATCTTCAACGAGTGCTCATCCTGGATTGGGATGTACATCATGGGAACGGGACCCAGGAGATCTTTTGGCAGGTAATGTTTTCGTGCTACCTCCATCTCTCCTTAAAATGGCGAACATCTTAAAAATGTGTGGAACTTTTCTTTTTGCGAGTTTTTCCTAATTTTCAATCTCGGGCATTCTAGGACAACCGGGTCTTATACATGTCATTCCATCGGCACGATGATGGTATGTTTTATCCAATGGGCGAACCAAAGGATTACGTGAACATAGGAGAAGGTAAAGGCAAAGGCTTCTCAGTGAACATACCATGGAATGCTAGCAAGATTGGGGATGAGGCTTATCGCGCGGCATTCACTAAGGTAAATTTTTGTTCTACCAATCTTCTTAGTTTATTCTCGAAAATTCAGATAGTAATGCCGATCGCTTATGAGTTTGCTCCAGAATTAGTTTTTATCTCATCTGGATTTGATGCTGCCACTGGAGACCCGTTGGGCGAGTACTTTGTGAGTTCTTAACTGTGGAATTGGAAACTTGAATCATCTTAAGGTGTAGTACCTTTGCAGAAAATCGTAGTGCTCTTTTTAGGTCAATGCTGACACATATGCTTTGATGACTTACCATCTGATGGGTTTAGCCGGCGGTCGCATTATCTCTGTTCTAGAAGGAGGTATGTGTTAAGAAATGAATCATTCTGGAGAGGGTGCAAGTTATACTAGCAGATGTATTTT